TCATCCACCATCCCTAGCTCTCAGACCAGGCTCCCAGCCCCTAGCCCCAGATCTCAGCCCTCAGCCCTCAGCTCTCAACTCCTAGCTCTCACAGCTCAGCTCTCGGTTCCTAATGGCAAATCCTAGGCTTAACACCTGTGCTCTAACTTCCTAGCTCCTAGCCCCTTGCCCCCACCTCTCACGTCTCTGTTCCCATCATTCACTCATAAGACCCAAACTCTCAGTCCAGGATCCTAGCCCCTAGCCCCAGATTCCAAGCCCAGCTCTCAGCCCTAGCTCCTAGGTCCAGCCCCCAGCCCCCAGCTTTAGCTCCCAGCTTCCACCTCCCAATACCCAGCTCTGAACACTCAACTCCCCGTCCCTATCCCCAGCTCCCAACACCCAGCATCAGCCCCCAGCTCTCAGCTCCCAGCTCCCAAGACCTAGCCCTTAGCTCTCCACATCCAGCTCTCAGCACCCAGATCCCAGCCCCTATTCTCAGCTCCCAGGCTCCAGTTCCCAACACCCAGCACCCAGAACTCAGCACCCATATCCCAGCCCCTAGCCCCATCCCCAGGCCCTAGCTCTAGCTCCTACCCCTAGTTCTCCACACCTAGCTTCCAGCCCCTATCCCCAGCTCCCAACACCCAGCTTTCAGCACTCAGCCCCAGCCCCTAGCTCCAGCTACCAGCACCCAGCAGTCAGCACCCAGAATTCAGCACTCAGATCCCAGCCCTTAGCCCCAGCTCCCAGCTCCCAAGCCCTAGCTCCAGCTCCTACCCCTAGCTCTCCACACCCACCTCTCAGCTCCCAGCTCCCAGGGACTAGCTCTAACTCCTAGCCCCTAGCTCTCCACACCCAGCTCTCAACACCCAGATCCCAGACCCTTGCTCCAGCTCCCAGAACCCTGCACCCAGCACCCAGGTCCTAGACCCTAGCACAGCTTCCAGCTCCCAGGCCCTAGCTCTAGCTCCTAGCCCCTAGCTCTCCACACCCAGCTCTCAGCACCCAGCTCTCAGCACCCAGATCCCAGGTCCTAGACCCAGCTTCCATCCCCTAGACCCAGCTCCCATCACTAAGCTCTCAGCACCCATCTCCCAGAACCCAGCCCCCACCACCTAACTCTCAGCACTCAGCCCCTAGCCCCAGCTCCCAGCACCCAGCACCCAGCACCCAGCACCCAGCTCCCAACCCCAAGCTCTCATAACCCAGCTCCTAGCCCCTAGCTGCAGCTCCCAGAATCCACCTCCCAGCACCCAGCACCAAGCCCCTAGCCCCAGGCCCAACTCTAGCTCCCACTCTCCAGTTCTCATCACCTTGCTCCAAGCCCCTAGCCCCAGTTCCCAGCTCTCAGCACCCAGCTTCTAGCCTCTAACCCAGCTCCCAGCTCCCAGCACCCAGCCCCAGTCCGTAACCCCAGATCTCAGAACCCAGCTCCTAACTCTTAGCCCCAGCTCCAAGCACTCAGCTCCTAGCCCCTAGTTCTAGCTCCCAACAGTCAGGTCCCAGCACCCAGACCCAGTTTGTAGCCCCAGCTCCCAGCTCTCAGCACCCAGCTCCCAGCCCCTAGGCCCAGCTCCCAGCTCCCAGGGCCTAGCTCCAGCTCCCAAACCCCAGGTTTAGCTCCCAGCACCCAGCCCCCAGCACCCAGCTCTCAGCATGGCACCCAGCTCGTAGCTAGCTATCAGCACCCAGCCCCTAGCCCCAGCTCCCAGCACCCAGCTCTCAGCCCCTAGCTCTCAGCCCTTAGCCCCAGCTCCCAGCTATCAGCACCCAGGTTCTAGCCCCTAGGAGCCCCTAACTCCCAGCACCCAGCACCCAGCACCCAGCACTCAGCTCCTAACCCCAAGCTCTCAGCACCCAGCTCCAAGCACC